CGCCATTCCACTCTCCCAGCAGCCGCGCCGCACAAGATGGGACGGAGACGCGAATAGACCCAAGAATGCGGAGGAAAGGAGGCAGCGAATGCTAGAAAGCAAACGGAAGTGGGCACGCAAGAAGCGTCTCATGGAGAAGCATGGTCAGGAAGGCACGCCTGCTCAGGCGGCAGCTCGGGCAGCAATGCACCATCAGCATCGCTGGGAGCCCGAACGACCGTTCTTCGCGGCCCACAATCATGGATATGCGGAACCGATGATGGCCCATCAAGACCGTCTATATGCGTCGCTGCCTCCAACTCGTGGTGAGCATCCAGGATACCACGGCGCCACTCCTATCGGACAGCCTCTTTCCACCTCTCACCCCCCAATGCCGCTGCAATCGCTCTACTCCAACGCCGCTCCGCCTGACGCTGCAGTGTTTCACTCGCACCATCCAGCTGCGCCCCACTATATACACCCGCCCAATCCTCACGGCCTCGAGCTCCCTTCTCCTGCGACCGTCGACCGCATCTTTGGCTTACCTCAATACGAGCGCAGTGCGGCTCGTCAAGGCACCTCTCAAAGCTCTTCCCGCCAGTCGTTGCCGCTACTTACTGCCGGTCCGCCGATTTTTGCACCGCACGAGGACATACCTGCACATCGCGGCTCACGCCATTCGAAGGACCTACCACAGGCTTCGCCCACGCGTATCAGTCATTTGCGAGCAAATGCAGGTCACCTCGGAGAGCTTTCGTCCAGAGCAGGATCCTCTCTGGTCACATCTCCGGGCCGGATTGTGCCTGGGCCCTTTGCCGGGCACCGTCAACTGGGTCTTTCGTCTGGCACGGCCGGTAGTCGTCAGCGTCCAGGGGAAGATAGGCTTGCAGACCCGTACCCCGATGCGCAACGCACTTCGCCGGAATCTTTCAAATCAGAGGATGAAGACAAGCTGCTTCATCGTCAGCAACGCTCGTCATCGGCCTCGCAAGCAGATGGCGGCAAAAGCGACCCTCTTACGCCGCCAGACTCACACAGCTTGGCCGCACATGGTGGTGCAGGTCTC